ATGGAAGCGGGGAGGGGGGTCCAAGATAAAATCTTGCACCAGAGCCCTTTGTTCCTTAGGTCCGCCACTGGGGCTCTCTCTCTCTGCTTGAAAAAAGATTGTTGTTTACAAAGATCAATAGCCGAAGGAGAAATTTACAGACAGAACTGAATGACTCATTGAAGTGACTTATCCCTTATTGAAAGTCTCAATTTAAAATTTAAGTGTAAAATGTCCTGTGTAAAGTAAAATGATATGCACTTGCGAGTATTGCGAGTGTTCAATATTGTACTACGTTTAAAAGTCTGCTCAGGGGCCTACGGCAGTGGTGGGATACGGTAGATATAAGTGATCCAACCTTTCAATCTAAATGAGAAATCTGCAGTTTGTAGGCAGCCTCAGACAGCAAAACCATAATCAGCTATAGTCCAAATGAAAAATATTATACAGTACTTCAGGGCATATTCATCAAAATAGTACACAAAACAGTGGTCTTGAAGAAAGTTCAGTTACATAGAGACAACCAATCACATTTCACTTTCACCTTCACAAGTCACTAAAGGCATTTCATTCTTGGATTTTCAGGGATACTATACTCTGCTATCCGTCTTACTAAACAAGTCTCTCTCTCTCTCTCTCTCTCTCTCTCTCTCTCCCCCCTCATTATTTCCTGTTTACTTTAGTTTGACTATAGATTGTAGCTAAATTGACTGCTGCCTATTTTGGTACATTTGGAACATTACGTGAATATGGAAAATGTAGTCTTTCCTGGAATTAAATATGCAATGGATTCTTACTTATTGCTATTTTCTACTTAGAACAATATTGTAATGTTCCAGCTGACCAAAATATCACTTATGCCTTTTCAAGATGAAAAGAAGGAACACATTGTAAGACAATTAGAAGCGACAAACCTGCTTTTTCCGCTCTGCAGAAATAGCCCAGGAGAAAAATAATGAGAATGTTTTTAGCAGTTGACATCTTCTTACTCTGATGGCAAATTAGACCAGAGCTAGAGCAGGATCAATAATTCCGAAGTCCACTATCTCTCTGTTTGCTTTTGTTTTACAACTAGCGTTGTGTTGCAGAGGGAACTTTAAGTTTTGAAATCAGAAATATTAGCAAACACTGATTCTAGACAATCAGCCTCACTCCATTTAAAGAAGAACTGAACTATGGAGTCTATTGTCTGTGGGCTCTCTGCAGATGATCTTTTCCCTAAACCAACTTAGCCTTGTTCTACACTGTCCATTTAATCGATTTGATAACCCTCCCCAACATCAGGCTCACAAGCTCCCTAGGTAAAAACTGGCCTCTTCCCCCTTGGAATTGAATATATAAAGAAACCAGAGAAAGAATGGGCTGGTATCTAAAGTCCTTCCGCCATAAGGATACTTAAAAAGAAAAAAAACCAAAACAGCCAGTAGACAAAGACACAAGCCATAAACATGAATATGGGGCAATTGCTTTTCTTCAATAGGTATTGATTATCCCTTATTTAAAGTAAGGCTGAATTTCTGTGCATCCTGCGAAACTACAGCGGCAGCTTACAGAACGCCAGTCTAATTAAACAGCAGGGTATTGTTTTACATTCTGGAGTTGGAGAAATCTCATACTTTTTGAAAGGGAACACCAAACGTTATGCAAAATACCAACTTTTCTGTACTCATTGGTAACGCAAACTATAAGAGCTCACTGAAACTAGAGCAGGCTAAAAACCTAACAATTGCAGCAATTTCTAAGTTAAGTTATTTTATAAGACATATTTTATAAGTTCAGAATTTAGCTATATTGTTGGATATTCAGTTAACAAAAGTACATCATTTTACTAAAGCACAGATGCTCAATTTTTAGCCACAGTGACTTTTATATAAGTCTTGTTATGCCTGCCTATTTAATAATATATTGATGATGCAAAACAAGTGTAGGGGAAATTTTCATTGCATTCTGAGTGCAGTTTTACATTTTTACTTTAGTCCTTTTCAGCTGTTGCAAAATAATGTGGCTGGATACAAGGCAGAAATAAAAATTCAGATTTTAGTCCATGTGCTGGTAAAATAGTTCTGCTGACAGGTTCCCTTTAATAAGGTAACCATAGATGTATTTTTAACAAGAATATAAAAAGTAGTTCTAAGGCCCACCGTGACAGGAGGACTACTAAGGCACTTAAAAGTAGCAAAGTGATCTATACAGGGACCCATGTCTTATAGCAACTCTGTGGGAAATGTAATTCTAACACACTAATCTGTGCACATTATATCAGGCTTTAGAAAGTGGGTGCTTGGTCCACCTGCCTCCCAGATTTCCCTACTTGCCAGTGAGGAAACTCATCACACATAGAGGTCAAAAGTGAAGCTCAAGAGGTGGGAGGAAGGATCAAGTTAAGTTACTAGATGAAAATCATATCACTCTGGGATTTGAGGTTGTCGTAATGAGAAGATAACATAAGATGCCATCAGGAACCTCTAGGTACTTTATATAAAATTAAATTCAATGGTCAGGTAATTAGGATTAGATTTCCCATTTTAAAGTAGCTTTGATGTATCACATGACAACAATGTATTACTACTGTCATAAACATTTTATAAGGTGATATATTGATAGTTTTCCCATGTTTGCTGTAATGGTACATACATTTTGTAAATGTCTAATTTGAATGGAATATGCTGTGTATACATTGTCACAGAATGAATGATGGCACATTCTAGGATCTGACACATTTCATCGCCACAGGCATTTCATCACACTTTGATTTGAACAGTACACATTGTTCATGTTGACACAGCAAGCTGAGTTTCTGAGAAATCATCATTAGACTTTCATTGAAAATAAAGGTGTCATACAAGCAGATGTATGTCATATTTTGATGCTGGTTGTAATGCTTTAGTACAAACTGATAAGAACACCAACAAATTCTTATAATTACTATTGATAACACACCAATGCTAGATCAACTCACAGTTTATGTGTCTATATACTGAGACTGATAAAAAAATTTATTTATAATGGAAGAATGTCAAATATTCCATTAATTAATTTCTTGGATGGCAAGGAGATAAAGCCGATAGTATCTGGGTAGAATATGAAACGGAGAATAATAGATTTACTAACATTTCCTTTGGTGTGTCTACATTGTCCTTTTTTTCAAACTGGTTAAGAAAAAAGAATATTGGCTCAGCCTAGTCTCATATCATTGCTTGGTATTTTCACGGGCACATGACAGTCTTAGGCCCCTTGCGGGTCATTCCGATAGATCCACCTGTCAGTTATTCAGGCACATATGATCAAAAGCCCAATGTTAGTCTTTGGGCCGGTGGATGTAAATGGTTGTTTTGTCGTCTAGGTCAGAAAAGAAAAAAAAAAAAAAACGGAAAAGAGTTCCACTTCTGCAGACCTAAACATGATTGATCAGAGGTAATTAGATGTAAACAGACACATGTCTGATTACATCCAACTGCCCAATAGACCTAACATGGGTCTGTACAGCTCAGTTTTTTCCTCCATCACAATTTCTTCATTGTTCCATTCTACTCCAGTTCAGCAAGGGATCTGTGCAAGGATCCCCTGCTGATCAGTACAGATGCTGCCCATGTGAAAGGGACCTTAGGATGGCAAATCCAGTAAACATTTTTTCTGATCAGCTCCCATATACCCAGTGAGAACCAATGCACAGTATACTGATGGGTGCTCGTTGTTTGTGCCTAGATGCTGGAACTCTCCTAAGATCTTACTGATGGGAAAACATTTTAATGAAATAACGTTCTTTCTTCCAAATGGAAGATATATAATTTATAGAAGAGAATGAACTTACCAACATAAAAACCCTATGGATGGATAATGTTTGACAAAATAATTTCTGAAGAACATAATAAATTATTGTGTATACCATACACCATGTAATTAATGTTACTGCCAAAATTAAAGGTACCTGTGTAGTCGGTATGTATGTTGATGAGTACATTACAGCATTAGACATCCAAATTTTAATCCTTTTTATTGACAAAATGATAATTTTTTTTCTACAATTAGTTTTCCACCAACAGATCATGACCTCGCCTTGACTTCTAGGTCTTCTGTAATTTCTGCTTCATATTTTAACCATTTAGTTGTTACTTTGGATGCTCAAGCATATGCAACAGAGGTCAACAACCGTTGTCAACCTGTAAGACATTTTCAAATATATCAACTATCCCTAAAAGCCGCAGTAAAAATGTATTATTTAAGAAATATATAGAAGGAAAGCATAAGGGTGGGTATGACACACACCTGTGTACTCTTATATGTACAGTTTTCATCCTACTCTCTACAATAAACACAGATCATGTGCTCTGTAAGGGGCAGCAGGGTGAGCTGAGCTGCTGGTAGAAAAGGACTTAAGTCTTCTTCTGTTAAGTTTGAAGATTAATTACTTCACCGTGCCTGCAGCTATAAAAGTCAGTAAGAGCTTGTATTAAAACTCATTTATTGCTTGTTAAGAAAATGATTTACCATCCATATCCCAACCACAAATGTATTTTTACATTTGCTGACAGTAACATGTAGATCATGTTCCACTGTTTTAAAGTAGCCACCGACTACATGGGCTACAATCTCATATTTAGTTAGCTATTTGTATTGAAGTTATATTCTATCACAGGAGCGAGTTTGGAGCGGCGGCAACTGTACAACACATACACATGGACCATGGGGAACAAAAGTAGCCACCCTCTAGAAGGAAGGACAGTGTCAACACCAATTCAGAGATGATTTGAGGATCTACAGTTGAATGATACTTCTTGTACATGCTGTGGTTAAACCAAGACCATTCTGTTTTTATTAAATATTTTAAGTGATATATTTGCACACACAAATATTCATAAAAATATATTTTCTTTTAGGCAAACAGAAAATAAAAACAAAACTTTTTTTAATGCTTAAATCATGCAGTGCTTACACAATTAAATAACCAAGTCTTACTATTTCTAATATAAACTGATTTTTTTTACTTTTTAAATACGTGCAGAAACAACAGTTTTCCCTATCTCAGATGGCTGTTTGATGTTCTGTTAATAAGAAATGTGTGAGACAGAGAGGACTGACTGTCTGCTTAATTTTTAACAGATATGTGTGCAAATGCAGTGAAATAACTTTTATTAATAGGCAATTGGTCCAGTTAGACTATGTCTGGGCAGAATAATGAATGAGAAGCTTTGATGTCAAGTTTTTTTTAACTTTTCTTTCCTTTTTATGTTAAATACTAAAAGAGTGATTTTTATTTTTTGTTTATTTTTTCCTTTCAATCAGGTGGATATTTCATGGAAGCAGCTGGAGATAAAGTCCTGGATAGTAGCTAAAGTCACAGATAGCAGCTGTTGAGCTACAAAAGTCTCAGGGGAGGAATATGTGCCTTCTCCCCCTGTACTATTACAAAATATGTAAACTAGCCTGCCAAAAGTATACTATACTTTACAATTAGAGAGCCCAGTATGCTTTACAGGCATAGTGTCATAGATGCATCAGTAACAAATGTTTATTTGTGAAACACGTACGTGTAAATGTAAAAAAGTTCTAAAAATTGACAAGGCAGTGCCCCTCCCCTGCACTTCAAGGGTAATCTTTCAGTTGTCTGGGACTAAGGAAAAATAAACAATGCATACCCTATTACTTGGTCCAGCTGGTTCCCTTCCCTTATACAGCTGGTTTAATGAAGCTACTCCTCTTTGCTGTATGTCAGGTTGTGGCCTCTCTGACAGCATCACATGACAGCAGTACTGGTGGTCCTGCATTGTACATCGGAATATTGTACATCATACATCAGCTTTATATTAAGATATTATAAAAATTTTTTATACATTTTAGGGCTGTGGAAATTAATCGTTAAACTTTTTGATTGATTAAAGTTATTTTGATCGCTAATTAAAACACTCACCTCTCCGCCGGCTTCCAGGAGTCCCGTCACGGACATCGACGTCACCGGACTCCTCCCCCTTCCCCAAGTGGCTCCGTCGGCAAACGAAGGGAAGGGGGGAGGAGTCCGATGACGTCGATGTCCG